GGTTCGGAAGTGCAATGTGTACGCGAGAGGTTTTTACAATGTTGCTTTAATTTTTTTTTACCTTTATACTTATAGTTAGCTAAACATGTACTTTATCGGGAAACTGTATAGTAGTACGCTGTTATGTTTTGATATACTGTGTGTACTATAAACTACAAACATTCTTATTTATTTACTTCTTTGTCAGATTTACTATCAACTACAATAGCTTTTTGTTGGCGTCTTTGTCAGATTTATTTGCTTTTGTTGGCGTCTTTGTCAGATTTATTTGCATGTTTGTTTTAATAATTTTTAGTCAGTTTTGGTGTATGTCTGTGATGTATATTTACACAGTTTTGGCTGCTGAATCCCAACAAACGTTACACTAAACTACTTGGAGAGTTTGTTATGGTTGCTAACTCAATGTTGTCAATATAACGAAACTATACACAGATGTCATTCAAGTAATAGGATTAGATATAACCAGATTTAAACCACCATTTTCTTCGGTTAATGTCTGTATTAAGTCAGGAATATGACAAGTGTTTTCCATTCATTCCATTGGTTGATATAGTCTTATGTTTCTTTGTCGCTTTGTATAATAGATAAGCGATATTAATTTTAGTGGCACAGATATGCAATTCTTCAAAAAAACTTTAGACAAAAATATTTGTATATAAAAAAAACTGAAGCTAACATTGAAACGCTTACACGACTGAATCGGATAAAAATGTCAAAAAGGCTGAAGAATCAGATTTATGCATAAGAATAAAATAAGATTTGTTCGCGCATTCTATTCATATACTTATTTTCAAAAATGAAAGTCTTATCGTCATAACATAAACGGTACCAATTTTTCTGCATCAGATTTGTCATTATTTATGGCAATGTTCCTCGTCACTAATCAATCTTATTCAAATATATATATATATATTTTTTAAGATCAGTCTGTTTAACGGAGAAAATGTAAAAAATAATCTGAAGAAATCCTTTACAAGTAGATAAGGTGTGATATCAATTGAAATCATTTAGAATTTAAAAACCGAACTGGTCTATAAACACTATAAAAAGACCAAAAATAATGGCAGACACATCAAATTTGTAAATTTGTTTTGTGATACTCCATAAGAAATATGGTATTTCCCTTCAAATGACTAATTTCGGTTATGTGTATATATAGATTCCACCATTGCAACAAGTGTGTTACGATATTTCTCCACTCGAGAAAGTTCAGTTTTAATATTCAAAGAGCGAGGCTTGCCGAGCTTTTTAAATATTTAAAATTTAACTATTGAGAGTGGAAAAATATCGTAATACACGAGTTATAGTGGCGGTATCTGTTTCTCTAATGATTTTTATCCTTCCTTTTAAAAGATTTGCAGAAAGTTGTGTTCTTTATATGTGACGTCATCAGGAATGGTCGTCTTTTTTTCCATGACGTCACAATAGGAAATTCAGAAGCAACCAAGAAAATTTGACGTCATAATTAAATTTCGACCAATCATTTGCCGAGAACAGATATTTCACTATTGAGGAGAAAATATTTATCTCACACCGATCAAGAAATGTGAAAATAGCACAAAAATTAGAGAAAAAATGAGAACAAATACTTTCTGAAAAAACTCTCCTATTTAAACGTTTGTTTCGTAAAAAATTGTATCCTAGAATAGAAAGTTCATATGCATATCTATTTTTTTCAAAGGTCTAAAAATAGGGCTGTGTGGCATATTTTTAACATTTATATGCCTCGAACTTATAAGAGTTCTCATTGTAGACTATACACATAACCGAAATAAGTTATTTGAAGGGAAATACCGTATTTGTTATGGAGCATCACAATACAAATTTACATTTGATGTATCTGTATCTGGGAACCAGTAGATAAGCAAAACAAAATATCTATGAATAATATATCTCCCCAAAACAGGTGTGGTTTGTGAAACATCTATATTTACAAAGTGCAAGCTTGATCTGTTTTATTGAGAGCATATTTGTCGCGTTTGATAGACGTGTTTTCCAAAAACAGTAATTATTCCTATTGAAACCAACTGTTTTTTTCTTCTTTCCTTCTTGTTCCTTCTTTGACATGAAGTAGATTTCTAAGGTGAATGAAAAGAAGTTAACATTATCGTTACATTTGACGTTCTTCTACATAAATTTTTTTTTCTCGCTGAATAATTCAAAATTGACCATTTTGACGCATCTATCCCACTGAACTTAAAATAAAGTATACAACAGATAAGCTTGGTCTGATAATGTCGCACATTGCACTATCATTGACATGTTTCTCTCGTCGTAGCCACACACTCATCGAATAAGAATTTTCACCGAATGGTTTCTGCAGATGAGCAACATAACGCGTGCTGTTAGTCCATTAGAAGGTATGGAGAACTACATAAGTTTTACGGACATCATAAAAATTGGTTGACCCAAGCGACAGTCCTATGTCTAAAATCACAAATGACATGTTTTTACTGTCTCAGATCTTTAGATACTAGAATAGTTGCTAGATATGTAATTTTGGTGATTTTTACATATTGAATATTGTGACATATTGACTGAGTATGGATATGGCGGGCGATTCATGGATATCAGGAACGCTTACCATGTCGACGCACCAGACTTGGAATTCATACGTTTTTGTGTTATCTTGATTCGTATTTTTTAAATCGATTTATGAGATTGAAACATCTGTAATCTACTGTTGCCAACACTTGTAGTGGTTTGTACGGCTTTGCTTAAAATATTTTCCTTTGTTATACCGAAATATCTTTGTTGAATCTATTGGTTACTAACACGTCCGTTCCTTATCGTCAAAAACATTCATTTTAAAATATGACATTGTGTTTTGTATCATTATCCCTCTATGCTCATGGTATTGTCCCCTAAGAAATTTCCCTCCCTATTTTTCAATTGTGTAAATTCGAATATTAGAGAATTTACATGACCAATATTTCAGGAACTGTTGAACCTCCCGGAGCACATTTGATCACTGTTGGTTTTTGTGTCAATTGTAATGCTCATCGCCGCCATGTTCGTTAATTATTACAATATTTTCATACAGGACCTTCTCGTGGAAAATAGCAGAATGAAAGGTAGCTAGCATTATTGCTTGATCCTCACTTTTTTATTTATTGATAATGTGCTTTGAAATACTTTAAATGTTTGATCGTTATATTAAGCGAATATTTTCGATTGAAAAAGATCAAATTCAGTTAGGTCTGATAAACATCGAATGACAATTAGAAATCGACAGTGAGAACTGAACTTAACGACAAAAAATGAAAATCTCAAGTGTATGAACTTTCAAATTATGATAAGAATGATTTCAAATGTTTGGCTTTGAGCGTTCCTGATGAAGGTAAATCCAGAAAAGCGCTTCGGACGCATGAAATTATTTAACGTGTTGTTTTCAATTTTTTCAACATTTTTGTAGCGTGATATTGGAAAATGTTTACTCAGATACAGTATCTGAATATGAGCTATATTTTTGTAATGTATACTTTATTCCAGAGCGTTCGTTTCCGAATAGGATGACTTTGATCATGTTACAACTTACAAAAAGACACCAAAGGAAAAGAATTTATTGATTAGTTTTTATTTCTTATCATAATTTGAAAATGTCTTTTCGAAAGTTTCGGTCACCATCACGAACTGGATGACCGATACGATGGTTTGGTGTCTTAATTCACTAGCATGTTTTAGCAATTTGATATCCTGGGATACCAGTACAGTCGGCTAATCTGTAATTAAACTGATTGTGGCCTATTCCCGACTTTTTCCGTATTCCCGATCATGACATTTTGACTAAGGGTGATGCCTCCATACAAAAAAAAATTAAATCACAAAAATGCTGAACTCCGAGGAAAATTCAAAATGGAAAGTCCCTAATCAAATGGCAAAATCAAAAGCACGAACACATCAAATGATTGGACAACAACTGTCATATTCCTGACTTGGTACAGGCATTTTCTTATGTAGAAAATGGTGGATTGAAGATTACCATGTTCGTGTTTACCAATCATTTCAAGTTACGTGTAAAATGGTATAGATTTTAAATATTTTATCAGAAAGGGTAATTATTTGTCTTTCTACGACTAATTTTATTTTTTAGTTTTTTTCTTACTAACCATTCATTGTAGCCATTCTCCCATCCTCTTTTCTTCGATAATGACATCACCGAATAACAAAAAACACAAAATGTGTGCCCACATGAACAACACAAAAGGTTTTTCGCAGATACTGAAAGCTGGTTCAAATCATATTTCAATTAATAAACAACATGTTTCAAACTTATATATCATTCAGCAGCCTTCCAACTGGTTGATTGCACGAGTCAAACCAGTCCGCGAAAAGCAATGTGACTTCCTGCTTGTTTTAAAGGCTCTGTATGACAGCCATACTGCCTATCCTAAATCTTTGTATATGTGGAAAAATTTAGTAAAGGTGTTTAGTAATAAGTAGTAGCGAAATCCCTGACTTTATAATTTAACTGTTGCACATATGTTTTGTTCATCAAAATCTTGAACGATGATATGTAACGCACAAAGCGAACAAGCTGACAGATATACAAACCGTATGGTCAAAGATCATTACTGTCCAAAAATTAAAAAATCATTCAGTGTTTTTTATATTTGATTTACTTTTAGTATTGGTAATACATACGATATGCAAACGTAGTTTTGTTTTTATCTAAATTCATTGGCACCTGTGTAGTTCTTGTCTTTTACATAATCAACAAAGATGAAACATTACTTTTTCAGAGTGAGACTGAGACAAAATTCATACAAGCATCCCTTTTTGATTTTACGTAACTTCACGTTCAGGTTAAAAGTAAGGTTTGTTATGTTCAACGTAAATTTTTCTGTAGAATGGTTGTGGGCTTTTGTTTGTCATTTCACCTCTTTTGGTCGCGGGTTTTCTTCCACGAATCATTTACGATTGCTTTCTTTGTATGTTTATATTTCCTTCAAGGTAAATATAGAAGACAGGACTTGCATGAAAAATCTAGTAGAATGAAATAGTTTGTATTCCTTTTAATATTCATAAACCATTATAAATAAAATTACACATTTGTATAAAATCGCCATCAATTCTTCATTGATTCTAATATGTTCCTTTTTTACCTGCAATGATAAAAACAATGTTGATATTATAAGGTGATTGCATTGCATTATTTGGAAGAAGAGTTGTGAGTTAAGTTCATGTTCTCTAAAGATTTAGTTAAATGTAAATTCTGATAAAATTGCTCAAACCTTCAGTTCTATTCAGTATGTTCCGGTTGTTCATATTTTATCTTATTCTTCCGTACATCTCTCTCATGGTTTTTTTTTATATTGTTGTCACTTGTTCTTGTCTTCATTTTTGATTTAGAGAAAAAAGTAAAACAACAAAAATTCCGAACTCCAAGGATAATTCAAAACGGAAAGTCCTTTATAAAATGGCAAAATTAAAAGTTCAAACACATCAAACGAATGGAAAACAACTGACATATTTCTGACTTTGTATAGGCATTTCCTTATGAGGAAAATGGTGGATAAAACCTAAGAGAACTTGTTTTGATTTAATTTTAAATCACTTTCAAAAAAGGAACAAATGCACGAGGTCTTAGAGAAACGACTTCAATTTCAAAACTGATTTTGAATTCTTCAATCCTTTCAAAACAATGTTCATTTTTTATACATTGCTATGATGATATTGTCTTGTGTATAAATATTGTTAATCTCGTCGTTGTGTAGCGGACAAGCAGGTATTGTTATGTTTGAACAAAAAATGGACCATTTTACACCCTTCCTTAGAATGTTATAAAATCATTCATCATGCGGCAAGAAATTTTTTACGAATGACTTTTGATCATATCTCACGTATCAAAACATCAATCTCACTCAGTCGACATGTCAGATGAATGTCACGTTGTATAAACCTCCCCTTATGTAACAGTTTGGCAAAAATAATTGTATTAAAGTTATAAAATTGTTGCATTTAAATAAGATGTTTTTTTTGTACTGTATGATGTAAGATTACTCACCTCCAAATTTTCCGAAACTGCCAAAACCACTGTGGTGGTTTCTTCCACTTATGATTCCACCAATGGCACCCATACCATTACCATTTATACCACCAATACCATATGATCCATAACCATTCAAACCACCAATACCATATGATCCATAACCATTCAAACCACCAATACCATATGATCCATAACCATTTATACCACCAATACCATATGATCCATAACCATTTATACCACCAATACCATATGATCCATAATTATTAACACCGTATGCCCCAACTTTTCTTCTCTTATTTCCTTCTTGTTCCTTCATTGACATGAAGTAGATTTCTAAGATGAATGAAAAGAAGTTAACATTATCGTTACATTTGACGTTCTTCTACATAATCTTTTTTTCTCGCTGAATAATTCAAAATTGACTATTTTGACGCATCTATCCCACTGAACTTAAAATAAAGTATACAACAGATAAGCTTGGTCTGATAATGTCGCACCTTGCACTATCATTGACATGTTTCTCTCGTTGTAGCCACACACACTTTCTCATCGAATATGAATTTTCACCGAATGGTTTCTGCAGATGAGCAACATAACGCGTGCTGTTAGTCCATTAGAGGGTATGGAGAACTACATAAGTTTTACGGACATCATAAAAATTGGTAGACCCAAACGACAGGCCTATTTCTAATATCACAAGAGACATGTTTTTACTGTCTCAGATCTTTAGATACTAGAATAGTTGTTAGATATGTAATTTTGTTCATTTTTTTACATATTGCAGATTGTGACATTTTGACTGAGTATGGATATGGCTTGGAATTCATACGTTTTTAATGTTATCTTGATTTGTATTTTTTAAATCGATTTATGAGATTGAAACATCTGTAATCTACTGTTGCCAACACTTGTAGTGGTTTGTACGGCTTTGCGTAAATTATTTTCCTTTGTTATACCGAAATATCTTTGTAGAATCTATTAGTTACTAACACGTCCGTTCTTTGTCGTCAAAAACATTCATTTTAGAATATGACATTGTGTTTTGTATCATAATTCCTCTATGCTCATGGTATTGTCAGCTTTTATTGGTCTTTACAAAAGAATTTAGCTATTAACTACTCATTATACCTTAAGTATGTTTATGTTTAGGGTAGTTAATGAAGTGAAGCTTTGAATGCCCCCTAAGTAACTTCCCTCCCTTTTTTCAATATTTCAGGAACTATTGAACCTCCCGGAGCACATTTGATCACTGTTGGTTTTTGTGTCAATTTTAATGCTCATCGCCGCCACGTTCGTTAATTATTACAATATATTCATACAGGACCTTCTCGTGGAAAATAGCAGAATGAAAGGTAGCTAGCATTATTGTTTAATCCTCACTTTTTTTATTTATTGATAATGTCCTTTCAAATACTTTAAATGTTTAATCGTTATATTAATCGAATATTTTCGATTGAAAAAAGATCAGATTCAGTTAGGTCTGATAAATAAAGGTAACAGTAGTATACCGCTGTTCGAAACTCATAAATCGATAGAGATAAAAACAAATCCGGGTTACAAACTAAACCATCGAACGACAATTAGAAATCGACAGTGAGAACGGAACTTAACGACAAAAAATGAAAATCTCAAGCGTATGAACTTTCAACATTTTTGTAGCTTGATATTGGAAAATGTTTACTCAGATACAGTATCTGAGTATGAGCTATATTTTTGTAATGTATACTTTATTCCAGACCGTTTGTTTCCCAAGAGGATGACTTTGATCATGTTACAACTTACAAAAATACACCAAACTAAAAATTTTTATTGATTAGTTTTTATTTCTTATCATAATTTGAAAATGTCTTTTCGAAACTTTCGGTCACCATCACGAACTGGATGACCGATACGATGGTTTGGTGTCTTAATTCACTAGCATGGTTTAGCAATTTGATATCTTGGGATACCAGTACAGTCGGCTAATCTGTAATTTAACTGATTGTGGCCTATTCCCGACTTTTTTCGTATTCCCGATCATGACATTTTGACTAAGGGTGATGCCTCCATACAAAAAAAAATTAACTCACAAAAATACTGATCTCCGAGGAAACTTCAAAATGGAAAGTCCCTAATCAAATGACAAAATCAAAAGCACGAACACATCAAACGAATGGACAACAACTGTCATATTCCTGACTTGGTACAGGCATTTTCTTATGTAGAAAATGGTGGATTGAAGATTACCATGTTCGTGTTTACCAATCTTTTCAAGTTACGTGTAAAATGGTGTGGATTTTAATTATTTTATCAGAGAGGGTAATTATTTGTCTTTCTACGACTAATTTTTTTTTTTTAGTTTTCTTCTTACTAACCATTCATTGTAGCCATTCTCCCATCCTCTTTTCGTCGATAATGACATCACCGAATAACAAAAAACACAAAATGTGTACCTACATGAACAACACAAAAGGTTTTCGCAGATACTGAAAGCTGGTTCAAATCTTATTTCAATTAATAAACAATATGTTTCCAAGACTTATATATCATCCAGCAGCCTTCCAACTGGTTGATTGTACGACGTCATACCTGTCTGCGAAAAGCGATGTGATTTCCTGTTTGTTTTAAGGGCTCTGCATGACAGCCATACTGCCTATCCTAAATCTTTGTATATGTGAAAAAATCTAGTAAAGGTGTTTAGTTATTAGTGGTAGCGAAATCCCTGACTTTATTATATGAATTTAACTTTTACACATATATTTTGTTCATTAAAATCTTGAACGGTGATATGTAACGCACAAATCGAACAGATATACACACCGTATGGTCAAAGATCATTACTGTCCAAAATTTTTTAAATCATTCAGTACATTTTCTATTTGATTTACTTTTAGTATTGGTAATACATACGTAGAGCAAACGTATTTTTGTTTTTATTTAATTTTCATTGGCACATGTGTAGTTCTTTTACATGATAAATAAAGATGAAACATTACTTTTTCAGAGTGAGATTAAGACAAAATCATACAAGCATCCCTATTTGATTTTACGTAACTTCATCTTCAGGTTATAAGTAAGGTTTGTTATGTTCAATGTTTTTTTTTTTGTAGAATGGTTTGTGGGCTTTTCTTTGTCATTTAACCTCTTTTGGTCGCGGTATTTCTTCCCACGAATCATTTACGATTGCTTTCTTTGTGTGTCTATATTTCCTTCAAATGTAAATATGGAAGACAGGACTTGCATGAAAAATCTAGAGGAATGAGATAGTTTGTATTTCTTTTAATAATCATAAACCAATATAAATAAAATAACAAATTTGTATAAAATCGCCATCAATTCTTCATTGATTCTAATATGTTCCTTTTTTACCTGCAATGATAAAAACAATGTTGATATTATAAGGTGATTGCATTGCATTATTGAAGGAAGAGTTGTGAATTAAGTCCATATTCTCCAAAGATTTAGTTAAATGTAAATTCTGTTAAAATTGCTCAAACCTTCAGTTCTATGTATTTTCCGGTTATATTTTATCATATTCTTCCGTCCATCTCTCTCTTGGTTTTTTATATTGTTGTCTCTTGTTCTATATTTTGGATTCAGAGAAAAAGTAAAACAACAAACATTCCGAACTCCAAGAATAATTCAAAACGGAAAGTCCTTTATAAAATGGCAAAATCAAAAGTTCAAACACATCAAACGAATGGAAAACAACTGACATGTTCCTGACTTTGTATTGAATTAATTTTAAATCACTTTCAATAAAGGAACAAATGCACGAGGTTTTAGAGAAACGACTTGGCCCGTACAATTTCAAAACTGATTTTAAATTCTTCAATCCTTTCAAAACAATGTTCATTTTTTTATACTTTGCTATGATGATATTGTTAATCTCGTCGTGGTATAGCAGACAAGCAAGTATTGTTATAAGTGAACAAAAAATTGACCATTTTACACCCTTCCTTAGAATGTTATTAAAGTCATTCATCATGTGGCAAGAATTTTTTTACGAATGACTTTTCATCATATCTCACGTATCGAAACATCAATCTAACTCAATCGACATGTCAGATGAATGTCACGTTGTATTAAACTCACTCTTATGTAATAATTTGGCAAAAGTAATTGTATTAAAGTTATAAAATTGTTGCATTTAAATAAGATGGTTTTTTTTTGTATTGTATGATGTAAGATTACTCACCGCCAAATTTTCCGAAACTGCCAAAACCACTGTGGTGGTTTCTTCCACTTATGATTCCACCAATGGCACCCATGCCATTACCATTTATACCACCAATACCATATGATCCATAACCATTCAAACCACCAATACCATATGATCCATAACCATTCAAACCACCAATACCATATGATCCATAACCATTTATACCACCAATACCATATGATCCATAACCATTTATACCACCAATACCATATGATCCATAATTATTAACACCGTATGCCCCATAAGCGTTTATATTATTATATCCTCCAAGTCCTCTACCAAATCCATAACCAATGAAAGGCCCGATTCCTTTACCGTAAACACCATAATTTCCATAACCACTTAATCCGTTCAATCCTCTTCCATTGAAATACCCGTATCCAGAAAGTCCACTCTGTGCAACAAACCCATTGTTTCTAGCATAACCGCCAATGTTTAATGGTGAACCGTAACCATAAACGTTGTTGAAATATCCCCCGTATCCATACCCTGATCTACCATAAGACGGATATCCAAAGCCACCATTTCCTTGATATCCATAACTACCAATATTACCTGGTCCAAACGGATTTCCGTATGTTTTGAGGTTATGTTTGGGACTGTATCCTTTTTCGCCGGCCTCAGATGCCACAAGTCCGAAAAGGGCTAAACAAATTAATACTATTGGTGTCATGTTTGTTGGTTCTGAAACGGTTTTTAATAATTCGTTACAATAATGAACTTTATGATATAACTGCCCTTTCTCTGAATAACTTCCAAACATAAACAAATCCGGACGACGGAAAATATTGAAGTAAATAAAGGGAGTACAGAACACCTAAGGGACTTAACTCTTAAAACTTAAAGATTAAACTTAAAAACCGGCTGAGCGTTTTAATTACATACTATAGGTAAAGAGAAATCAACCTTCTCGATGATCAAAACTTGTGTTTGTCAAACTGGTATACACCCAATGAAATAATTCCTGTAAATTGTGTGGTTCAAATTTCTTGAAATTTCTATATTTTCGTCAAAAGATCAAAATAAATATTTTGTCAAATTTCTATGAAAATTAAACGAGCCACATCTAATTTTGTCAAATTGTTTGGTACCCCCTTAAAGGTAAGCATAAAAAAAATGTCAAAAACAATGGGTCAGACAAAGTTGAAAACATATTCTATAAGGTAAAACTTATCTGACGTGAACGTTTATGAAATCTAGTTAACAAAAATAATGCGAAATATACACGATATTTTGCGAGACAAACATGAAACATACCTTATAAGCAAATCAACTGCTTACTTCTGTGTCTGTCTATGTTGGTGTGTTCCTTGTGATAATTTTCTAATTGTTGTACCTTATATACCATGATCACTGACCAAACATTTTGTAATAATCAGTTATAGAATAGACATTTTACATTGATTAACCTTTTTATAGTGGGTTTATTTAAACAAGGTTAACCACAATCATAGAATCTATTGTCAGCAAATATTTATTGTCATCAATTGTTTGTTGCTATTGTTTTACCCGCTGTTAACATCGTGGTTTGTGGACGAATTTCACATTTTAGTGGTATCTGATATTCATAATGCATGTGTAATTCAGTATTAGGGAAATTCTTCGTTTCATTTTATTATCCGTACACTTTCCCTGGTATCAATGTTCTATATTTCTAATATATTCTTATTACTTTTGTCGTATATAGTACATTTCATTATTGTCTTGTAATAGGCTAAATATTCTTTTTTTTTTATTGTTTTGTTAAAGAAAATATCGATAGAAAGAATATGGGTAATAAAATGGGTTAAATCTAGCAGGTGAATTTCATTATTTAGTCCATTGATTGAAAGAGCTACGTGTTAGATTCCTTTTGATAAAAAACTGAAAAGTATTAAAAACCAACCAAATCGTATCATTAAATGTTACAAACATTATTCCGTCATTCATCATTTCTATTTTCTTTTTAATTTTGTTGTACATATTTGTTTTAGGATTTTTTATTAAATTTTTTTTATAATATAACGGGTTTTTTTAACTGCTAAAATATATTCTGTTTTTTATAATTATGCCACATCACTACCAAAAAAGGGACTTTCTTCTTATAGATGAATGTCTTTCATAAGAGCGTTTTTGTGGTTAATGACTCGTATTGAATTTTGTTAAAAATTGTGTGTTTACAATATGTGGAGCAGGATCTCCTTTTCCTTCTGGAGTACCTGAGATCAGCCGCGGTTTTGATGAAGTTTTATGTTGCTTATTTCCTATGTTGTAGTGTGTATACTTTTTTTTTGTCTTTCGATCCTTTTTCGAAATTTTTTTCCATGACGACCTATGAATTTAAATATCCCTTCGGTACCTTCTGTCTCTCTTTTAGTGATGAGATAAAGGTTTTAACCATACCTCCGCTTTCAGTAACAACTTTTAAGGCCCCATTTATTTTTTGCACTAGATGCGCATTTCGTCAAGAAATGTCTCTTTTGTGATGATCGAGGCTAATATATTTGAAAATCCAAAACTTATTAAAAAATGATAAGCTTTTAGATTATATGAATACATTATTTTTTCCAAACAATAGGTATCAGATCTTTTTTTTTTCGGTCATATATATTCAATTATAACTGTATGGAACAACATACACACTTTCCCTCTAAATATTGTTTATTCAGTCAGAAAATTAGACCAAGTTAACGTGAAATGTGGTAAAAACTGTACACACACACAATGTTATATATATATATTTCGTACTGGGAATTATGGTGACATACTACTTTTTACATGCGATTCATTAGTCGATATATTTTAATCTTTATAATAACAATAAGTGGAACATGAATTGCATTTCGTCAAATGTGTTTTCAGGTTTGATGGACATATAAGAAATATAAAAAATGTCATGAACGTTTAAAAGCTTAAACAACTGAAACGGATAAAACAGTCAAATACGACTATGGAATCAGGCATATGCATAAAGCAGATGATTCTTTATTCACACATTCCTTTCTCAGACATGTTTGTTTTTTATTGCTTAAGGCGAAGTTCCTCCTCGTTAATTAATGCAATGAAAACGTCTCTGTGGTGTTTTGAAGATCAGTATGTTTAACAGAGGAAATGCAAAAAAAAAAATTAAAAGATATCCTTTACAATTGATTAAAATTGTTATATAGTAAACAACTAATTACGCAAGGTCACGTCTTTATCTTAAATCCGTTGGCTGTATACTGATTGATAATTTAGTCTGGGAGAACATGATTTATTGACTTAATATAATTGATTTTCAACTAGCAGTAAGCACGAGTACTCTCATATCGGCGCTTTATGTCTATTGGTTTTATGTTAGTTGGGTTTTTTGCGCTTCGTTTCGATCTATTGAGCGATTTGCTACTGTTTTTTCCAGTGTGTTCTTATGTTGTGCTGTTACACCACCGTACAAAGTTATGGGATTGTTCACAAATATGTTCAACCCAGTCACAGTCTATATTTGCATGTCCAGAGTCAATAGCCTATCAGTCAGTTGTTGCCGTACGCTGACCCATAATTTCATATATGCATGTCATTTGAACTAGTTGTCTCTTTGGCAATCATATCACATCTCCTTATTTTATATAGGATTCCAAAACCTATGGGTTTTGTAACATCTTTATCTATTATCAAAGAATAAAATGTTGCTGGACACATCAAATTTATAAAGTAAAATTGTTATTGTAATATTCCATAACACATATATTGATGTTTTACAGATATCTAGTATCGTTTATCTGTGTATATAAAAAAGAGGGCATATACTCTGTTTAAAACTCTATCATTCAAACAAAAGAATCTTTGAAACTAACATCATCATCATGCTTGTTTCATTCAGAGCATATGTGTAACCTTTGGTAGACAGTAATCATTCCCATGAAAACCAACTATGCATATCTTATTTCTTCTAGTTCCTTTAACATGCTTAATGAAATGAGGTAGACTTGAAAGAGGAGCTTCTCAAGATAAAAGTTAGCATGGTCCTTAAATTTGACATTCTGCTTCATAAACATATTTGTTTTCTCACTGATAATTCATAGTTGACGATATTGACGATAAAGTGTACTACAGATACGCCTGGTCTGGTCACATCGTACTTCACACTACCATTGATATTAAATCATCGTAGCCACAAAGTCGTCCTCGTCGAAAGGGACTTTTCACTGAATGGTTTCTTGAGATAGGCATATAACGCGTGCCACTAGTCCTGTGTTCACATGCATTGTCATTTATATTGTCATAATTATAAATTAACTGTTTACCAAACTTTGAGTTTTTCGAAATACTAAGGATTTTCTACCACAGGAATAGATCACCTTGGATGTATTTAGCAAAATCTTCCGATGCTTTTTAACTTTTTAATTTATTTTGCCTTTTAACTTTTTTGATTTAAGCGTCACTGATGAGTCCTTTATAGACAAAACACGAGTTTGGCGTACGCAATTACTGCCTGGTGTCTATGATATATTTAGATGGTATGGAGCAATTTGGTTTGTCTTAAGCAATGTTTTACGGAGTCTTATAAATCCAGTTTTTAAATTTCGTCGAAATCAATACGAGGAAGAACGACTGAAAGTAACACTGAATAAGTTATGCGGACACTATCATAATAAGCTGATTCGGAAGATGTGTCTAAACACACCAGAAACTTGTTTTTCGTGGTCTTAGATACTACAATAGTAGTTATAAATGCAATTTCTGTGATTTTTATATATTCCTGATTGTAATATTTTGAATAGTACGGATTTGCATAGCTTAGTCTGTCGAGTTAGTTTATTTTTGTTTGTTACCTTGATTTGTATCTTCTTAATTGATTTACAAGATTTGAATATATGTAAACATCTGTTGCCTAGCTTTAAAGTTTTTCTTTTGTTTTAGTTATTTTGCTTTGTTGTTCCTTAATATCACTGTTGCATCTATTGGTTACCAAGCCGCCTTTTTCTTGTCTCAAAAAAGATGTTTTCATTCCAAAAATCTGTATTACTTTTGACCATGTTGTTGTTAGTTTTTAATGAACGCAAATCTAGGAAAGTTAACTACGTACAGCTTTGAATACCTTCTTAGTAATTTCTCCCTCTAATTGTTTTCAATCGGTTAAGATTTGAATTTGGTAATGTGTTTCATGTAAAAAAGCGACATTTACAAATTATATAGTGTTTGATTTTAAACACTAGATATGACTCATCTCCGTATCAATTTAGGTGCAAAATGGTTTTAATCGTGATGCTATATTCTCACTGCTGTGTTATTTGGTTTTTTTTTACTTTTGCACAATCTGCATACAAGACCTTAATAGCAGAATGAAAGGAAGCTATCATTATTGTTTAACCCTCACTTTTTGATGTATTGATAATGTCATTTCATTGGATATTAAATGTTTGGTCGTTATATCAAACGCATTTTTTTATTGAAAAATGTCCAATTCAGTTAGGCCTGCTTAACATTGAATGACAATTGTAATCTCACAGTGAGGTTCGATTGAGAACGGAACTTAACGACTAAAAAATACACCTCAAATTGTATGTATGTACTTTCTACATTTATGTAGCGTGGTACTGAAAAATGTAAACTCCGATACAGTATCTGAATATGAGCTATAATTTTGCAATGCATACTTTATTCTAGAGCTTTTCATGATAAGAAGTTTCGAAAAAGATACTACTTACTAAAATACACCAAGAGAATTTTTTTATTGTGTTATTTTTTATATCTAATTTTAATTTGAAAATATCTTTTCTAAAATTTCGGTCCTCATCACAAATTTGTTTACCATTATATGTGTTGGTGTCTCAACTCATAATCATTTTTTAGCAATCTTATATATCTGGATACAATCGTCTGATTTGTAGCTTAACTGATAGTGACCTATTCTTTATTGTGACATTTTGACCAAATTCGAAAAGCATGCGGTCAATGCATTCATACGGTAGACGATTACCCTATCGACGCACGTGGTCGCGCTCCATTTGGATTAAATGTCATTCATTCCCTCGGTGCTTGTTTTTTGCCTTCGTTTGTCTCCTTTTTAATCTACTTAGGATATTCAAACAATGCTAGGGTAGAGTCGACAAAATTACCAATCGCCATTAGAACTTGTTTGACCAAAACGAAAATCTCTGTCACAGCTCTGAGTGCAATACAATGTTGTTTGGGTTTTGACTTATTGTTCTTGGTGTTCATGTTGATCAATCTTTTCTAGTTTCGTGTAAGATCCTCTGTTCTGTTTTGGTATTTTTATTTGAGGAAGTAGTTATCTGTCGTTCTTCGACATTTTTAGTTCTCTGCTTGCTCGCCATTCGTTAAGGACATTCTCCCATCTTCTTTTCTTCGAATGAAAATTCACACATGTATTTTTGATCGAGTTAAGCCATTTCAATTGATATTTTGTAAAGTGTCTTTTTATGTTGTAATGTTACACTACTGTTTTTGGTGACGGTGAAGGTTGGCGCCTGTTAAAACGTTTAAAACCCGCTGCATTTGTATGCATCTATCCTATTCAAGAGCCTGTTGTTCAGTGGTTGTTGTTTGTGGATGTGGTTCATAAGTGTTTCCCGTTTCTCTTTTTTTAGATAGATAAGACCGTAGGTTTTACTGTTTGAATTATTTTACACTAGTCATTTTGGGGTCCTTTATAGCTTGCTGTTCGGTGTGAGCCAAGGCTCTGTGTTGAAGGCCGTTCTTTAGCCTATAATTGTTTACTTTTTACACATTTTGACTTGGATAGAGAGTTGTCTCATGGGCTCTCATACCACATCTTATTATTTATATATACAGAATGTGTCCTTGCCATGAACAACAAGACAGGAACTCAGAGATACTGAAAGCTAGGTGAAATATATTCAAGTTATAAATAAACCATGTTTTACAGACAATCAGTAGCATTCCAACGGGTTTAGTGTATGACGTCACAATTAGTCTACAAAAAGCATGACCATTTTACCGTTAAGTTTTCATGGGTCGAATCTGATTTAACGGGTTTTAAAAACAACATGCCCAGCAAAATTAGAATATGATATCCTGTTAGTTATAAGGGTTTTACAGGAACCGCAAGACTTCCAAACGAAATCTTTGTTTCTGTGAAATAATTTAGTAAAAGTAATTACTAATTTGGGGTAACGAAATACCTGACTTTATAATCTATCAGCTGCACATATGATTAGTTCATTAAACATTTAAACGGCAATAAAGATAGTGGAAAGCGAACAAGCTGTCAAATATACACACCGTATGGCCAAAAATGGAAATCATTTAGTATTCTATGAATTAGATCTGCTTTCAGTACATGTAATACCGACATAAAGCAAACAGGTAGTTTTGTTTTTATTCAAATCTAACAGCACTTTTTTAGTTCTTGTCTTTTATATAACCAATAATGATAAAACGAATAATGGTATGTCTATATCTCCTTTAAATCTTATTACTGAAAAGAGGACTTGCATGAAAAATCCAGCAGGATGAAATTGTTTATATTCATTTTAATATTCATAAACCATTATAAACAAAATAACAAATTTGAAAAAAACGCCATCAATTCTTCAATGACTCCGTGGATTCTAATATGTTCCCTTTTTACCTGCAATGATAAAAACAATGTTGATAGTAGATGGTTATTGCATTGCGTTTTTGAAGTTAGAATTAAGTGCATATTTTCCATAATTATTTTAGTTAAATGTAACTTCTACTAATTTGCTCAATCCTTCAGTCTAATGTATTCTCCGGTTGTACGTATTTTATCTTATTCTTCCGTACATCATCCTCTTGGTTTCTGTATTCTGCTGTCTATAGTTTTCCTTTTTGATTCAGAGCATTGGTATTTAATTAATGTAAATCATCTTTATAAAAAAAAGGAATGCACGAGGTATGAGAGAAACGACTTTGCCCGTACAATTTCAACACTGCCTTTAAATTCTTCAATTTTATAAAAAAAAAAAAAACTAAAAAAAACAATCATGGTGAAAAGATCAAGCAGTTATTACTATGTTTGAATAAAACATGGTTCATTTTACACTCTTACTGAGATAATTATTCGTTTCAATAATCATGCGGTCTTAAGTAACAATTTGTCAATAGTAATTGTATTAATTGTTTATATTATCGCATTTAGATGACATGATTGTTTTGTACTGGATAATGTAAGATTACTTACCCCCAAATTTACCGAAACTGCCAAAACCACTGTGGTGGTTTCTTCCATTTATGATTCCACCAATGACACCCATACCATTACCATTTATACCGCCAATACCATATGATCCATAACCATTTAAACCACCAATACCATATGATCCATAACCATTCAAACCACCAATACCATATGATCCATAACCATTCAAACCACCAATACCATATGATCCATAACCATTCATACCACTAATACCACCAATACCATATGGTCCATTATTATGAACACCGTATGCCCCATAATTATTTATACCGTTAATACCATATGTCCCATAACCATTTAAATTGTTATATCCTCCAAGTCCTCGCCCTAATCCATAACCCTTGAAAGGTCCTATTCCTTTACCGAAAACACCGTAATTTCCATAACCACTAAATCCGTTCAATCCTCTGCCGTGCAAATACCCGTATCCAGGATATCCACTCTGTGCACTATATCCATTGTATCCAGCATAACCACCAATGCTTAATGGTGAACCGTAACCATCAGCGTTATTGGAATATCCCCCGTATCCATACCCTGATCTACCATAAGACGGATATCCAAAGCCACCATTTCCTTGATATCCATAACTACCACTATTACCTGGTCCGAAAGGATTTCCATATGTTTTTAGGTTATATTTTGGACTGTATCCTTTTTCACCGGCCTCCGATGCCGCGAGTCCGACAAGGGCTAAACAAATCAATACAATTGGTGTCATGTTTTTTTGGTTCTGCAACGATATTCAATAGTAATCAATTGATAATAATGTCTTTGAATAACTTCAAAACATTAGCAAATCCGGATGATTGAAAATATTGAAGTAAATGAAAAGTAAAGTTGTAAATACATTGGAGCAGAAAAAGTAAGAGTTGAAAAAAAATATTCAGGAGGGTCAAACTTTTCCTGGCGTCAAAGTTCATAAAAAATATTTTGAAAAAGAAAATAATGCGAAATATACCAAATATGAAAAAACATGATCTATTGAGAGATAAACATGAAACATACCTTTTAAGCAAATCAACTGCTTACCTCTGTGTCTTTCTATGATTGCGTGTTCCTTGTGATACTTTGTAATTGTTAAGGTTTATATACCATAATCACTGACCAAACATTATCTTATAATCTGTTATAGAATAGACATTTGACATTTGTAATAGTGGGTCTGTTTAAACAAGGTTAACCTCAATGATAGAAATTATTGTCATCAATTATTTTTTGTTATTGTTTTATCCGCTGTGATCATCGTGGTTTGTGGAATTTCACCTATTATTAATATTTGATATTCATACTGGATGTGTAATTTAGTTTGAGGGAAATTCCTCATTTTATTTAAATATTCGTACAATTTCACTGGTATCCAAGTTGTGTATTTCTAATTATTTGTATCGTGTATTATACATTTCATTAATGTCTTTTAATACTGCATTTGTTATTTATTGATTCAAACTTAAAACACTTGTAATCATCGTTAACTGATATATTTCGCAACAAGCTAAATGTTCACTTTTTAATTGTTTTGTTACAAAAACTTGAATGTTGATTTCTTTTTTAGAAAATGTCTGGCAATAAAATGGCTAAAATCTGTCAGGTGAATTTCATTTGATAAGGTCACTGATTTAAAGAACCACGTGTTATATTTCTTTTAATTAAGAACTTAAAAGTATAATAGATCAATCAAATAACATTATGCAATTGTACCAACTTTATTTTATTAGGCAACATTTTTTTTCTCATATTTTTTAGTATTTTTTGCATTTATTTATAACGCTTCTTTCTATTTAAACTGAGAAAATATCTTCATTTTGGGATTGTTGTCAAAGAGTTTAGAATTATGCCACATCACTACAAAAAAAAAGATATTCTTCTCATAAATAAATGTCTTTTTTAAACGCGCTATTGTGGTAAATCGGGTAGGTAAATGGCTCGGATTTAATTTTATCAAAGATTGTGTGTAAAATGGCAATTTGTTTAAAATATGTAGAGCAGGATCTCTTTACCCTTCCGGAGTTCCTGTTATCAGTCCTGGTTTTTAGTGAGGTTCTTGTCGATTATTTCCTATGATGTGTTATGTATACTGCTGTTTGCCTTTGGTCATTTTTCTTTTTTTTTATGACGTTTGCAGTTTGTCTTTGACTTATGAATTTAAATATCCCTTCGGAATCTTCTGTCCTTCTTTAAGTGATGAGTTCAAGGCTTTTGCCATACCTCTGCTTTTAGTGACAACATTAACGGAATCAATTTTTCTGCACTAGGCGCGCATTTCGACAAAAATGTCTCGTCAGTGATGATCGAGGTCAATATATTTGAAAATTAAAAGCTTACTTTCAAAATGATAGGCGCTTCGGACACATGAAATTTATAACGTGTTGTTTTAATCTTCTTTCTTTTAGCTTATTTGGATTTTTTTTTCTAAATTATGTGTTTGCCTTATATACCCTATAAAATTATGTGCAACAAATCAAACACTTTATCCCTCTAAACAATGTGTATTCAGTAAATAGAAAATGACCAAGTTAACGTGAAGTATAGTTAATACCGTACATGAATGTTGCTCACACAACGTTAAGCATATCGTATTTGGACCAAGAGTGACATTTAATCGGTCGATAAATTTTAATCTTTATCATGACATTAAGCGGTACGGAACTCGCATTTCGTCAAGTGTGTCTTCAGAGTTGATGAATATACTTGGAAATCCATAAACTGTAATAAACATTTAAAACAACTGAAACGGATAAAAAAGTCAAATACGATTACTGAATCTAGGCATAACTCAGATGATTCTTTATTTGCACATTCCTTTCTAAAACCTTTGTTCTCCAAAAAAACAAAAGTTCCGTATTATCATTTAATGCGACGTTTCTGTCCTTTCAGATATCTTGTATCGTTCATATGTGTAAATAACAAAGAGGACAAATACTGTGATGAAAACATCTGATTCAAACAAGAGAATCTCTGAAACTGACATCATCGAGATGTTTAATCTGTTTCATTAAGAACATATTTGTAGCAATTGGTAAACATTTTTTCAGTGGTCATTCTCATGAAAACTAACTATGTTTCTCTTATTTCCTTCTATTTCCTTTATTTAAATGAGATAGACTTGAAAGAGGAGCTTCTCAAGATGAACGAAACTTGAGCATGATCCCTAAATTTAACATTTGACTCTGATTCAAACAAAAGGTTCTCAGAATCTGACATCATCAAGATGCTTGATCTTTTTCATTCCGAGCCTATTTGTAACCTTGGGTAGACGTGTTTTTCAATAGACAGTGGTCATTTCTATGGAAACTAACTGTGCTTCTCTTCTAGTTACTTCATTGAAATGAGGTAGAACTGAGATATGAGCTTTTCAAGATGAATGTAAACAAGTTAGTATTATCCATAAATTTCAAGATATGTTGCATAATATTATTTTCTCACTGAATAATTAAAAATGAAAACAAGAAGATGTAGACTTATTTGCAATGAGACAACTTTACACTAGACACCACATGAAGTTGCTGTAAGCACCTATATGTCACCGTACGGCCAACAACAATAAGTCAAACCTATACCAACTACCTATAAAAATCGCACCCATCCAACATAACTTGAATTAAAAGATACCACGGATAATCTAGGTCTAATGATATCACAATTTACACTACCATTGATCTCGTAACCACAAACCTGTTCTCATCGAATGTGACTTGTCAACGAATGGTTTCTTGCGATGAACAACATACCGCTTTCAACTAGTCCAATAGCACGTAATATACATAGTCTTGTTTGAAATAATCTTTGGGATCAAGCTTTTTAATTTCAACATAACTATGAGAAAGAACGGCTGACATTGATACTTCATAAGTTATACGGACACCATCACGATTGGTTGACTATGACCTGGAAAAAAATAAGCTATTAACTGCTCATTGTACTTCAGGTATGTTATTCAGTAGTCAGCACTTCTGTGTTGACATGAATAACCATTGATACGGTCATGATTATAAATTAACTGTTAATAAAATTTAGAATTTTTAGAAAAAACTAAGGATTTTCTACCCTAGGAATAGATTACCTTAGTTGTATTTGGCAAAACCTTTCGGAATTTTGGGGCCTCAATGCTATTCAACTTCGTACTTTATTTGGCCTTTTTAACCTTTTTGATTATAGCGTGACTGATGAGTCTTTTGTAGACGAAACGCGTGTCTGGCGTACAAAATTTTAATTCTGGTATCTATGACGAGTTTATTTACAATCACTGGGTCGATGCCACTGCTGTTTGGGGATTTCTCTCTGAGGGAATCACCAGCCCAGTAGTCAGCATTTCTGTGTTGACATAAACAATCATTGATATGGTCATACTTTTAAATTAACTGTTTATAAAACTTAGAATTTTTAGAAAAACTAAGGATTTTCTACCCCAGGAATAGATTACCTTAGCCTTTTTTGACAAAACCTTTCGGAATTTTGGGTCCTCAATGCTATTCAACTTCGTAATTTATTTGGCCTTTTTAATCTTTATGATTCGAGAGTCACTGATGAGTCTTTTTGTAGACGAAACGCGTGTCTGGCGTACAAACTTTTAATCCTGGTATCTATGACGAGATTATTTACAATCACTGGGTCGATGCCACTGCTGTTGGAGGTTTCTCTCTGAGGGAATCACCAGCCCAGTAGTCAGCATTTCTGTGTTGACATAAACAATCATTGATATGGTCATACTTATAAATTAACTGTTTATAAAACTTAGAATTTTTAGAAAAACTAAGGATTTTCTACCCCAGGAATAGATTACCTTAGCCTTTTTTGACAAAACCTTTCGGAATTTTGGGTCCTCAATGCTATTCAACTTCGTACTTTATTTGGCCTTTTTAATCTTTATGATTCGAGAGTCACTGATGAGTCTTTTGTAGACGAAACGCGCGTCTGGCGTACAAAATTTTAATCCTGGTATCTATGATGAGTTTATTTATGTCCAGGATAATTAAAAACTTAGCTTTGAATTGTCTTTTAGTTACTTGTCCTTCATATTTTTTAATGTTTTAATGTTAGAGCATTTAAATGGCCAATGTTTAATAAATTTGGTGCGGTGTTAGAGTTAAGTAAGCGAAATTTACCTATTATATATTGTTTGGTTCCTTATTAATGGATATGACTCACCAGCAGGAACTGTCTCAAAAAGAAAAGCAGAATGAAAGGAAGCTAGCGACGTTGGTTAACCCTAACTTTTTTATGTATTGATACTATCCTTTCATGAATAGTTTTAGCTTTTGTCGTTATATTAAGCGCATGTTTTCCATACAAAAATATTTAATTCACTTAGGTCTGCTGAACATCTCAAGACAATTGAAAATCGAGTGAGAACGGAACTTAACGACATTATAATTTGAAAATATCTTTTCGAAGTTTCGGTCACCGTCATGAATTGGTTGACTGTTACGATGTGTTGGTGTCTCAACCCAATTGCATGTCTGAGCAATTTTATATCTTTAGATACCAGTACAGTTGTATAATCTGTAGTTAAACTGATTGTGGTTTATTTCTGACTGTTCCAAATGACATTTTGACTAAGTGCAAATTTTCATGCGGACGATACCTCCATACGATAGACGATTATCTTTGACGACTCACCTGGTCTTCATCTATTTTGGATTTTTTGCGATTTTATCAGTTTGTCATCTGTCTTTAATCGATCTAGGAGATTCGAACAGTCGCCTTAATTAACGATCGACAT